TAGGGGAAAAGGGTGTGGCATGTGTATGGGGGCAGTGTGTGTGTGTATGGGGGGGCAGTGTGTCTGTATGGGGGGCAATGTGTGTGTAGAGTGTGTGCACCCCCCCCCCAGCCTACCTGTCATGTTGCTGGTCAGGCAGCCATCTTCTGCAGCAGTATGGTCTGCTGCTTTATGGCAGGGGCGGGGCTTATCTGCAGGAGGCGGGGCTTCGTTTGGGGACGGGGCCTGTGCCGGGGAGCCAATCAGTGCTCCCTCCAGCCACAGACAGCCCCCAGCACCTCTCTCCTGCATTCCCTCGGGCTGTAACAGGCTGTTACAGTCCGTGGGAAGCCCTGGGGGAGGCCCAAGGGGGGGCACAGCATGATGTAGGGGGGCCATGGCCCCCTCTGGCCCCCCCCAGCGATGCCACTGTGTTTAGGTGCAGCCTTCATGGTTTCGTATATATATATATATGTGTATGTATGTATGTATATATATATATATATATATATATATATATATATAGCAAAATCCAAATAGGATTGAGGCAAAAATGTGATTCTTTGTTAAACTAATTTGCATATGCCCACCCAGAATCCTTTGCGGTTGTAACATCAATGCAGATTTGGAATTTCTGTGGGTAAAGAAAGTCTTATGGCTTGACTGGTGTGCAGATTTTTGTTTAACTTTGTATTAACTATCCACAGACTTCAGGTGGAAGGGGTTTTCAATCACAATTTTTTCCCACCATAACCTTTTTGGATTTTGCTTCCCAAGCACTACCAAGCCTCAATAAGCAAACCAGCAACCAACCTCATGCTGAAGAGTTGCATTTACAACAAAACAGCTGTCCATGAGTGGTTCACTGGTTTTGCATCATTTCCTAAATTGTGTTCTAAGCAGTTGTATACTGCAAACACAGATTAAAAGGAATCCATGTTTAAAATGGAATGAGGCAAAAATGTAATTCTTTGTTAAACTAATTTGCATATGCCCACCCAGAATCCTTTGCGGTTGTAACATCTCTGCAGATTTGGGATTTCTGTGGGTAAAGCAAGTCTTATGGCTTGACTGGTGTGTAGATTTTTGTTTAACATTGTATAACTATAATATATATATATATATATATATATATATATATGGGAAGGTGGAGCCTGGAGTTGTGGGAGTAGTTGATCAGGCCTATATAAACCCAAACCTACCTCCATTCTGGGCTGATGTTGAT